TAACCCCACTGAACTGTGTCCTTGGGTAAATGCTGCCTCTCGTATCTCGAATGGTTGATGGTTCTAAGGACTATCTCCTTTGTGTTCTTGTGCCTCCTCGAGACCTCTCTGTTGTTAGGTGGTGGCGTGGTTACAGGTTGGGCGGAGATCTGCAAGGTTCAAAACTTGAAGTCACCAGCCGATTTGTGGAAGAAAGATGGGGCTTTCTGTTCCCTTAACGAGTTACAGTCTTGGAACACAGTTGTAGCCCATCTGAAAGGGTCGTTGTGAGTCAGCATTGACTCAATGGCAGTGGGGGTTGGCTTTTTTTTTTTTTTTGCCTGAAAATTGAACCACAGACTTATGTTCCGTTTCAGACCCCAAAGGTGAGTAGGGGCCATATCTGACCAGTAAGACTTTTTTTATGGTTTTGGATTTTGTTCTATATTTTTCTCCTACTCTATTTAAGACCTTCCACTGTGATCCTTTTTAGAGCAGTTAGTGGTGCTTGCTGGGCACCATATCGTTCTTCCCGTCTCAAGATAGGAGAGGGCGATGGTCCTTGGTCCACTAGTCTTAGGGCTGACCATTTCCACTCCCCTCCCATTTCCTCCACTCTTCTTTCCTCCACATGGGGAGAGACCACATAGGGCCCCTTTTAAGACCTCAGTCAATGGAGAACATTGTCTTTGTGAAGGACACTTTTTAGTGTCATGGGAGAAAAATGATTTTGAGATCAGGGCTAATAGCAAATTTTAAAAATCCAAATGGACATCTTCAAATCATTGAAGTTTTTTGCAACAAGTATGGGATCCAACCTCACAATCAGACGGGTCCTTAGGAGCGGCCGTATGTGATTAAGAAAAAATAAGACAGAAAAAGTGGAGTATAGGGCTCACCTCCCATGTTGGAATCAAGAAGAAGAGAGCTAGTTTCTTTTGCAGAATATATACGAGGGGGTACCCCCCAAAACAACAGAAAAAAGCTCTGCTGGGTGGAGCTTTTGTAGCACCCATTTTTCCAGCTTGGCAAGCATCAAGCGAATTGCTTTGAGTTAGTGCACCCAGTGGCATTGCATGGGAAGGTTCTCTCTGGTCACAGGGAATTATTTTGTAAAAGCAGTTTTGCTTGAACCTCATTTTTTGTGATGGTCAATTTAAGAGAGCAGTGTGCAGCTGTGAAATTTTGTTTCCTGCTCTGGAAAAATGCTGCAGAAACTACTGTGATGTTGGACACAGCTTACACGGGCAACCCTATGGGAAAACTCCAAGTGGATGAGCGTTTTTTTTCATTTCAAAAAAGGTGAAATGTCGATTGATGACAAATCTGGTTCTGGACATCTGTCAACTTCCTGAACAGATAAAAATGTCAACTCATAGTGCATTTGGAGTTTGTTCCACTGGGTCAGACTATTAATCAAGCTTCTGTTTAGAGCTTCTGAAAAGATTGCATAACTGTGCAACAAAAAAGGCCTGATTTGTGGCAGACGTGGGTCTGGTTTTGCCACCATGACAATGCACCTGCTCACGCAGCCATCTCAGTCTGCCAGTTTTTGGCAAAAAAAAACTCCCCCCCAAAACACAGCATGTCTTTCTTGATACCCACCCCACCCATGGACCCTAGTCACCTGACCTTGCCCCATGCAACTTCTTTTTGTTTCTGCCAAATGAAGAGGGACATGAAAGGTCAGCGAATTGAGCATGCAGAAGAAGTGAAGAAAAAAACCAAAAAAACAAGGGAGGTGCTGTCAGCCATCCCAAGAGATGAGTTTGAAAAATGTTTCCAAGAATGGAAACGCAGATTTAATAAATGTGTTGTCATGGAGAGTACTTTGAAGATGAAAAGGTTGTTTTGAAAAAAATACATACTTTGAGGGGGGGAATTCCTTTTTCAGGGTGGGGTACTGTGGCCAGGCATGCAAGCCTTCATTAGGCACATACACAATAGAGAGGGCAGAGTGTGGATCTGAGATGTTCTGAGTTCTTGTAGAACACATCAAAGGGAGTGTCTGGCAGGGAATGATCAATGGTGTCATTGTCCCTTAAGAATAGTAAACAGCAGAGGATGCTTTTAGAGATAAGCATACGTGTGTGTGTGTGTGTGTGTGTGTGTGTGTGTGTGTGAAACCAGGCTTACGTAGAAAGTAATTTATCAGGTTAGACAGGATATAAGTGAGGCACCTGCTTCCTGGAGAAGTATATCCATCGGGGACTTCACTATAAGTACCAGGAAACTAAGGGACAAAGCATGATAAAGACACAGGGAGCATGACTGTTCTGAGAGGGAGGCATCTAGAGCAGAGGGCAGTTTGTAGAGAGCTCTCTCTGTCTGGAGACCGCATCGTAGGGTTTACTCTCCATCTCGGAACTGTGAAAGTCTTCTCTCACTAGAGCTGTCTTCCAAGCCCTGTGGTTAGGAACATAGAGATGAGGTTGCTTCTAGGTTCTCAGTTTCCCACAAACAAGTTTACTGGAATGCCACCCTATATAAAACAACCATTTTTGGCCGAATTAAGCATTTTAAGTAACACCTCAAAGATGAGTCAAGAGAGAGAAGTCTGTCAACCTTGACAAAGAAATTGACATTTAAGTCCAGAATTTGGTAGAAGATGGTGGAATGGCAATCTGTGATATTATAATGAATTACAGAGTGATAGCTACTGGAGTTGGGAATCAGGCACGTTCAATTTTACATGAACATCTCGGTCTCAGTGAGCTCTGGCCTCTATGGGTCCCCAAGGCTTGTGGGAAGATCAGCATTACATCACAATTGTGAGGATGGGGTAGGACCAAGGTCTTTCATTCTGTTGTGCTTAAGGCTCCCATGAGTGGAAACCAGCTTAATAACACCCAGCTGCCACAACAACAAACTACGTAACAATATTTCAGTTATTTAATTGTATTGTGGAATTAAGAAATAGACATTTCCACCATTTCTACTACTTTTTAAAAAACCAAAATCTTGTAATTTGTTGTCTCGTTTCCAGTGAGGTATTTTTTGTTTTGTTTTTTATGTCATTGCGTTTTGTAGATAAATCTTTGTTTCTCAAAATGGAAAGAAAGTGCAGGGTTTGAAATCAGATACCAGGACTCAAATTCTGGTTCTACCATTTATTACCTGGGTAAATTTGGATAAGTCGCTAAAACCCTTTTTTTGGGGCTAAAAAACCTTTGAGATACAATTTGCTCCATTGTAAAAGTAAGGACAATAATACCTACTTTGCAGAATTTGTCTTAAGGATTATCAGCAATATAGTATAACACTTGGTAAATAGTAAAAACCAAAATCCCACCGCCGTTGAGTTGATTCTGACTCATGGTGACCTTATAGGACAGAGTAGAACTGCCTGTGGGTTTTCAAGACTGTCACTCTTGAAGGAAGTAGAAAGCCTCATCTTTCTCTCTAAGAGCAGCTGGTGGTTTTGAACTGCTAACCAGGTGGTTTAAGAGCCCAATGTGCAACTACTAAACCACCAGGGCTAGTAGGATCTCAGTATTAGAAGATACAATCATGATCTCTTCTTAAGGTGGAAGCCTTAAAATGTTTCCCTCTTCTGGTTTTTTGGTCTAAATTGTTGTTGGGTGCCATCAAGTTGGTTCAACCCATAGCAACCCCATGCCCAACAGAATGAAATCCTGCTGGTCCTGCACCAGCTGCATATTGGTTGAGCCCACTGTTGCAGCCACTGTGCCAATCTTGGTGTCAAACTGAGTGCAAGTCATCGTGCAAAATAGATGTGTGCAAAATAGAACCGCTCACGTGGGTTTTCCTTTCAGAAACAGGTTGCCTGACTTGTGAGGTGCCTCTGGCTTTGAACTACTAACCCTTTGGCTGGCAGTTGCGTACTTATGCTGCCCAGGGACACGTGGGCAGAAACTCGAACAATGAGTGTCCTTTTTTCCAGAATTGTCACCAAGTAAAACTGAGTGCGATACCAGTCGATTGCAAAAGAAGCAAATCTGAAAATGTATTTTGAAACATGAATGTGAAACTGCCCTGCCAGAAAACAGGATCGTTTATTCTGAAATGTCACTCGTTAGTGACCAAACCGCCATTTACTCTTTAGGAAGGCGACATTGTTGAAGTAGATGAAGAAACAGCGGCTATTTTGAAGAATTCACGATTTGCCCATGGTTTCCTGATCAGCCCCACTGGAGAGCGGTCTCCATCACCCGGAAGTTGTGCTTTCAAATCAAAGGTCTGGTGGCTTTCAATTCGATTGTCTCCTAACTTCGTATTTATAGCATATTTTCCTATTAAATGGATAGTTTTCAATGCTCTGAATTAATTCCACTGCTTCTGTCCTGCCAATAATCAGAGATTCCTGCTCTGGCATCTCCATGAGCTCTAAGGCATCTCTGAGCCTTTAGAGTTATATGAAAAATTGTGCCTATGTATGAGTATATGCTCTTTTTTTTAAAGAGATGGTCTCATTTTCATCAGGATCTCAATGGGGTCTAAAAACAAACAAGCAAACAAACAAAGAAGGTTAAGAGTTACTGTAGAAAGTAAGTAAATGATTGTTAGTTACTGTCGAATCAATTCCACCTCATGATGGTCCCACCTACAGAGGAGAACTCCAAAGCTAGGGGTTGTGCGCACCTATTTTTAAAAGCCTTTTAATACATCTGATCACATTGTTCCAGAAAAATTGTACCGCTCACCTTTCCTGGAACTCTTGCCAAATAGGGTATTGGTGTTTTGTTTCGTTTTTTCTTTCAAGATTTACTGTACATTTATTTGGTGGGTTTTTATTTTTAAATCATTTTATTAAGGGCTCATACAACTCTTATCACAATCCATACACACATCAATTGTGTCAAGCGCATTTGTACATTCATTGCCCTCATCATTCTCAAAACA